GGACCTGATCGACGTCGCCATGAAGTTGACGTGGCTGAACAGCCGCTCCGGGTGTTCAGCCACGCTGCCGGTGTCCGTTGACACTGGCAGTGTGGCCAGCGCCCGGATGACCCAACGAATGTTAGGAAGCAGAGGGTCCGGGCACTTGCCTAGTGTCCACATCACAGATCTTAGCAGTTCCTTCTTTCATTTCCACATTTTCAGCCATGTGTTGTGTTTAGTCTCCACGGCTGGTACGGGGTCCAGAAACCGTGCATACCGCGTCACGGTCGGCTTTTTTGATGTCCAGCTCTTCGTGCTTGCCAGAAGCAAGCCAGAATTCGAGTGATTGCCGCTACGGCTGCCCGAAGTGGGCGCAGAGATGGGTCAGGACGCTGTCTAGCAGGGGGATGTAGCCGTTCACGTGAGGCAGTCTACAGCATCCCGGCAACTGCCCGCGTTGGACCGGTACACCGGTCTTGGTGCACAGCGGGGAGAAGCGACATCGATCCCAAGGACTCGGACTGCCTCACTTGTCTTATCCATCACGGACCCAAACTTCTCTTTTGGCTCCTCTCTTCATCCCCGCAGCAGCCCGATGCAGACAGCGATGTCACCTGCAGCCCCCGAAACGTCCAAACCCTTGACCCGGAGTACACGGGCGACTGGTTTCACCACGCAGGTCATGGCTTCAAGAGCATGCAGTGGCGTCAGAAATTCTGAGGAGGCTATTGTGTGTATCAGACTCTTGGCGTTCTTCCGCGCTTCTGAAGAAAACCAAATGCTCATCCTCGTCGGGCAGTGGGCCGCTGCTGACAGCAGCTGACAGATGCGCGTCACTGCCTCGTGACGCTTCGGAAAGCGCGTAATGCAGAGCGAGATAAACCTCTTCCGGCTTTCCTTGGGAACCACCTTCTTGGTGGCTTTCTGCAGGGCTGTGGCGCGCTTTTCGTGAATGGGAAAGGTAGTTACGTCTTTTGCGGTATCAAGACATCCTCGAACGTCTCGCTGCTTGCGGGTACTGCTGACGCACACATTAACACGCGCTCATGTGGGGGCAGCGGGTCAAATTGACCCCCAAAGCTTTTCCAAAATGGTTTACGGACGGCGCAACTTAGCCGCACCAAATTTTGCATCGTTGCAAACAATTGAATAACAGATCGTCTGGAGTCAAAATTTAGATGTACCTAGTAAGGTCGCTGACCTCTTGCAGGCCAAATTCAGGCCATGGTTTCAGCAAAGGCAGTTTCTAGGGAATCGTTCAATCTGCTCCAACAGCGGAGTGTTAGATGAAGCCCCGCACATCTGAAATACTTTCTTAGGCAACACAACAATTGAGTGAACAAATTACATTGGTCTATGGTCAGGTATGGTCAGACCAAGGTCAAAACCGATCTGTTTTTTTACTCTAGGGCTTGCTGTACGGGGTAGCTTCTGGTGTTGATTTCCAATGTATTGATGACAGGAACCGCATTTTACACCTTCAATGGACTTATTAAAGGTCAGAATACGGCGCTGACCTAAAATGACCCAGGTCAACATTTTTTTGCTAGGAACATGCTGCCTAGCGTAACCTTTGTCACTTATTCAGAATGCAAAACTCAAAGTAGTCTTGTATTAATTTGGTCACCGTGACCTTCGAAAGGTCAAGCAAGGTCACTGACCTTAGATGAGCATGTGATCTTTTGCTTAGAACAGTTATCTAGGCTCCAGGGACTCTTTGGACACCAGCCTGAAATTTGATCGTGTTTGATCTTATTTGACCCGAAGGTCATGACCTAGGAACCTCAAACTTTGACCCCGGTGAGTTCACGTCCAGGTCAACACACTCTGTGAATTTAGTGCCTAGCTCTCGTAGTTCCTGAGATCTCAGGGGTTCAAACTGACCCCCATCCGAGCGAAGTGTACCCAACCGGCCATCCGGGCGTGGGTTGAGTGCATGCATCGAACAGTGGAAAACCTCGCAGAGGTCGTTGTCACATTTGAGCAGAGCTGTTGCCCTCACACTCTTACTGACCATTGTTGGAGCTTCGTCGAACCAGCCGATGATCATCTTAGTGTCATGCACCATCCCGAGGTCTACAACTTCTTCAGAATGACACTGGCGATGTTGACTCCACTAATCTGTCTCGTAGGCACGGTGACGTCGCTTTTGGAGTACCCAGTGACAATCTATTCGAGTAGATCCATGACGCGAACAGGATCCTCGTGAATACCCGCCATCTGGCTGCGTCCCGCTCGGTCAGTTGTTTCATCCACCAGTACACTGAAGAAGCTGTCTTCACTGTTGGTCTGATGTAATTTGTGAGCAATAGACGGCGCAGTCAAGCATCTCTTTTTAAGAAGTTAAATGGTGCTAGCAAAATGTCCGCCGGCACAGCAGAAGTTCAGCAGTTTTAGTATAAAGAACCATAACATTCGCAGTTGGATTTTTACAAGCAGCTGGAACTATGAGTAGAGAACGCCGACAGCTTCATATTCTTAACCATAGGTCCCTGTGGTAGGCATGCATGACCCATCAGTGCCTCTTTCAAGGAATCTTGACTTAACATCAAATTACCCATCGCGCTCTGAGTCCTGTTTGTGAAGTGGTGATCCCACGTCGTTTGGCGCCTCTTCGCCATGTCGTCATCAGCCACCTCCGGCGACCTTTGCTCGACGACGACCGCTAGCTCGCGGCAACCATCCGGGCCGCTCTTGTTAGTCAGCTATCATGTAATAGAGATGCCAGAGCCACCGGGACTGCCCACCTTGCGTTGCCGCGCGGCTAACCCAACCGCCCCCCCCCCCCCCCCCCTATGAGACCGCGTTGAGACGGACTGGTGCTGCGGCAGTTTGATTCAGCTGCATGGTGTCAGTTTCTCACTCACCGATATGTAATGCCCTCCAGTGACAGGAGGATGCTATCATCCTTCAGGGGCGCCGCCAGTGTCCGGAGTACCAATGCCTACGCATGGTACAGGTGGCAGGTCAAGTCCTAAAAATGCCGTCATTTATTGATCTATTTGTCTTTTGATGAGCAAAGGTTGTATGGAAAGATGGTCTCGTGTCACCTGGGCAGGCTGGAAGTTGGACACATTCTGCCATTGCGCTATGCCTAAGGTGTCATTTGTACCCTCAGGCACGTGATACTGCGGTGGTGGGGCGGAATTTCTGACACTGAACTATCGGAATGCGGAACTGAGTGTAACACACGAAAGCGAGTCGTTGTGCGAACGTGGTTCGTGGCGGTGCTGAAGCGCAGGAGGCACACAGATGTAAGTTTGATTCTCTCACGTATTTGATTTCCGTTGTCATACTGGGCGCTACAGGTTCCCTTATGCCGCACGGGCGCCTGTGAGACTGTGATATCTTGTCTTGAAATTTGCGTGCCTTGTATAGTGCGTATCTTAAAGTTTGAAGGTCCTAAGAAATGAAAGGAAGTAATTGTGTATTCTTCAAATACCATGGGCACACATTCAAAACACCGAAGTCACCCGTGGCCCCACATGGGGCCCCTGGGGTGCCTTTTTATTCTTTAGGGTCTTTTAATCGCCCTAATGACATTTTCACGCATTAGGGACGCCCTTTGAGTACCTCGGTGCACCTCTCCAGAATAAAGGACACCATCTTATTTTTTAGGTTGTCGTTCTTGCCGAATGGATCATTTTCAGATATTAGAGGAATTTATCCGTATTTTGCTCATTCATTCACACCTCGTGTACATTTTTAGACCCCATGAACACCCTTTAAGCCCTCGAGACCACCAATCAAGATTTTGGGCCATTTTGTTTGGACGTCCTTTTGTTTTTAAGGCGTCCTTCCAGACATGAGAACGCATTTTCAGACCTCAGTGACACTGTTGGAGCCCTAAGGGGTGGCCCTCCTAGCAATTATGCGTCGTTCTCTTCTTAAAGACGTTCTTTTTAACGTTAGAACATGTTTTCATCCGTCGGGGGTGACCTATCGGCCATCGGGGGGCGACTCTCCAGGTTGTGAGACATCCAGACTCTTTACCGCATCCCTTCGAACCTCGAAGCGTATTTTTTAGGCCGAAGAGGCATCTTTTGGATCCTCGGGGGCGCCCCTCCATGGTTTGGGGCGCTCTTAAAAACGAATAACTAAAACGTCATTCTTCTAGACTTCGAACATAATGTCAAACTGCAAGGTTGGAAAGTATATTCTTAGCATGCATCTCCCAACTTCAGAGGCGCCCTTTGAGACATCGGGGGCGACTCTCCAGTTCTTGGGGCGCTATTTTATTGTTAAGTTCTCCTTACTGCTACGTTCTTCTACCTCGGACATAGACTGCCGGGGGCCCGAATGAGTCCTCGGAGGGCACCCTCCATTCAGTGAGCTTTTGATGTATTCATCCTTCAGAGCCTCCTTCTAGACTTCGGGACATATTATCGGATCACATGGGCGCCCTTTCATCCATCGGGGACGGCTTTTTTCCTCCCCCCCCCCCTCCCCCAGCGTTTAGGGAATCTCTAGGTCTTCATGGCCATTAACCACCCAGCCCTGTTCCGGTCCGTGCCGGGTGCTCTTTAGCGGCGTCGTCAGAGAAGGAAGAATTGAAGGAGTCCGCCTTTTTTATTGTGATCTTTGATATTGATGTATCTCCGGTAATAGGGCGTACCGGTCCGAGGTTTTGTGCTCATTCTGTTCAGGCGGTTAAACTGCATCTGTTTGCAAAGTTTCAGGGCAATTTGAGGAGTCCGCTGAATCCCGAATATGGACCTGAATCCGAATGTGAATGTGGTGCCAACTTGACGGACATCTTTAAGTGTTGCAATCCGTCATAGCAATTCACTTATTTGCTGCGAAGTCAAAACTTTGATATAAAGAGGGTAAAAATGCACATAGAATTCAGAATGTTTCACTTTTGTCGAGAGAAATGTTTAAGAGACCATGAAGATGCACCCGCGGTGACGTCCATCCACCAAATCGTGCAAACGCCTGTAAAGACACTGGGATGACGGCGGCCTGTGTGAGGCTACCAAAAAAAATCTGACGGTGCTTATAGCGCGATGGTTTCAAAAGGCAAGCCAAACACTGGGAAGCCACAGCGGTCTGTCCGTGCATTTGGATAAGAGGTAGCTGTTACATCCGTGGCGTTGGTTATCTGTTCTCTTAATTAAATCACCATCGCGTTTCATTGTGGGCAGTAGGCCGTCAGGGCTGTGCAAAGTGGCCATGCCAAACCATGGAGATGTCAGTGCCCTTGTATTAAGACATCTATCGACGGTGGATATATGCCTCGCGGATCTCTACATGCGGAAAACGAAGCCAGTAAGTTCTAACACATGCACGAGGCTTCATACCTAGCATTTGGATACCCTTAGGTCAATGCAGGCAGCGTTTCCCAAAACTCAAAGGATCATTGCTGGCATGAAAATATTTCAGCGTGCTGGGGCTGTTAAAAAATCTTTAAGATTGCTTGGGTATTGCCTGTGAGCTCATGCAGCACGGTCTGCAAAAATCCATTTAGTGCAAGAAGTACTCACAACAAAATTGGTGCACTGTTGCATGTGTTTGTCAAACTCAGGCTGAGCCGAAATGCTTACACTCTTCAAATGATAGGTGTTTGTGAAAAATGTCATGGAAATATTATGATTTGAAATGGCCTTTCAAAGATGAGTATTCCCTGAAGCATCAGCCCTCAATGTGGTGGTGACTGTGCTAAATTTCTGAGCACTCAGGTTGATCTGTTGATCAGGCACTGAATCTGTTGGGTTGATGTAGCTACTGTGCCTGACATTCTGCATGGCACATATTTTGTCCTGCCATTCATGTTGCTCTTCTAGGAAATATCACATGCTGTCATGCTCTATTCATATATCAAGACTGAATTGTAGTTACAGTTTGGTGCCTGATGTAAGCTATATCAGTTAACTCACCTGTTCAATTTACTTATGGGGATTCCTGGTTTCATAGGCTCACTAGAAAAGTTATGTGTGGCCACTGCTGTATATGTTTTTTCTTTGGTTGTACCATATTTGTGAGTGTGTTTAAGTTTCAGGTTTGCAAGATATCTGTTTTGTTATAATGAATATTTAGTTATGATTTCAAATATGTTTACCATCATTCATCATTCTATCATATACATAACTTTTTCTTGTATGTCTTTGCCATTGCCTAGTGCATCATGTATATTTCATTTCTGCTATCCAGTTATGCATTAGAAATTGTGTATGCTGAGGTTAATTCAGTGTCATAAGTGCTGAAGAGACATGCTAGACTGAAAATGTGGCTGCACAGAGAACATTTTGTATGATACCATTAGCCTCATCTACTATAGACTTATGGTGGCTCTGAGGCATTTTCACAGAATAAGTGTAACAGGTTTTGTATTGGCCTGATGAACAAGTGCTGAATGAATCTATGGGCTTTCTGAACCTTTCAAGGCCTTTCATCAGGAATTAGAAGGATACAGATATGTTGTTTCATCAAGACATTTAGCTGTGACAGTGTGCACATTATGTTGTCCCTCATTCTTTGTTTGCCTCTGCTTTTATTTTACAACTCAAATCTTCTTTTCAGCCACCCCTGAATGAAGAAGCACCTTCCTTGGAAGCAGTTGTTGAGTTTTTCATGCAGTAAGAAACCTGGGATTTTCTGCTTTGAGGAGGGCCAGGACTTACCACTCATCTGACATACTGATAGTCTTCAGTGTACATGGTGTGAAGTCATTGATCACCCCCAAATGACTGGAATCTGGACAGTTTGATACATATGGTGCATAAGCCATTGCTTACCCCTTAATGGCCTGAACTTGTGAAAGCATTTGATGCACACAATGTCTAAGTCACTGATCAACCCTGAATGACCAGAACCTGTGATGGTCTAATGCCCACAATGTCATAATCATTCATTACCCCTGAATGTCCAGAACCTGTGGTAGTCTATAATACACATGATGTCTAAGTCCTTGATTCACCCCTGAAGGACTGGAATCAGATAGGGGGGAGGGGAGGGGAAAGGATGCTGGGCGCAATTTGTTAACCAGTTGCGTGACAACATAATCAAATGCTGTGGAAAGTGGCATGAATGGTTCAGGGACATAACATTAAACATCATTGTTTGGGTACAGAAATCGGATGGCATTCTTTGCTGCAACTTTGAATTCAGTTCCATCATCTTTTTTCAGCTACTCTCATCGACTTTGACATGTTGTGGGACACACTGTACTTCTGGAAAATAACACCACATATGCGTGCTGTTTGTGATGAAAATCTGACAAGTAATGTATTCCATAACAAGAAAAACTTTTTGCTTGAATGCACGTCCTCTTTTTGTTATCAGATGGGTGCGAAATATATGGCAAGAAGGAATTTGACGTGAAAATCGTTTTGTTATCAACGGACCCTCCAACATGACGTGCACGCCGGTTTGCTTCTCGTAAATGCGTGTGTAATGGCGTATTCATTTGTAGGGAGTCGCCGGGTCCCATCAGCAGCGGCGTGCCCCCAAGACGCCGAAACAGGCCAGCACAGGCAACCAACCCTCGACCGCGGGCACCGCGCGGGCGAGATTCGACTGCGAAAGCTGTGATCTCAGAGTTGAAAACACCACAGGCTGAACCTCATAGCAGCGAAGACCATGCGTCAGTTCTGAAATGTACTAGACTAACCTCTCCTAGCGAAGAATCGGCATTGCCGGGCGGATCTGTTCGTAGCCAAAACAGTATTGGATGTTCCCCGGTCTTGTCGGACAGAAACGCTATCAATTGTTGTCGACACAAAGAAGAAAATGCACTTTCCGCTCGTGAGAAAAACGCGAAGACAAGTAAGGTGCGAGCTAAGACGAACGGTCAGCTGCTCTGCTCGGCGGCTGTCTCCTCAGGAAAGGTGTTATCCATCAAGAATGAGTCCAATGTGAAACAGGTCTCTTATGATAATAGGACCATCGGTCGTGGAACGGGCTGTTCGAACTTCTTCGAACCTTTCGTCATCAGGCAACCTGGAAAATGCCCCGTCATCAGTGACAATCGCCGGTGAAGGGGTGTTCACACCGAGAAAACGTCCGGCTGGTTCCCGGGGGACGTCATTAGCGTGTGTCAAACGTTGTGTTTTATCATCCAGCGACGGTTCTGGAAGCGATAATGATATTATTGGCATCGCCACTCCACGCATAGCTGTGAGACGGGAGGATCACAGTGTGAAAGGAGATGAACCGTTTCGCCCGACATGCACGCGTGTGGAGGCATGGAATACGGCTGTTGCCTATACTCAGCCTTAACACGTCCGAGCCAAGTGCATCTGAGCCACGCGGGCCAAAGCCAAGTGCATCTGGGCCGAGCGGGCCAAAGCCAAGTGCAGCTGAGCCAAACGAGCTAAAGCCAAGTACACCAAAGCGGACCGTTATTGCGGATTCTAAGTCTAGTGCGTCTAAGTCAAGCGCATCTAAGCGGAGTGCATCTAAGCTAAAGGCGTCTAATCCAAGTGCGTCTGAACCAAGTGCATCTAAGCAAAAAGCAGCGAGACAAAGTGCGTCTGAGCCAAGTGTGTCGAAGAACGGCATGTCTAAGACAGGCACGACTGAGCCGCGTGCGGCTAAGCCAAGTGGGACCAAAACAGGCCGTCGAAAGCCACCCTCGGGGGGTGCCACCAAACGTGGTAAGCTTCTGGTTTCCATCCATCGGTCTGTCGACGTCAGTTTTCTCCTGTTGCAGCTTGCCGTGTGTTAAACGAATGGCCTTGCTACATGTATTGCAGTATCTGACTGATCGCGTGTGAGATTCTTCAGCTATTTGGCTGTGCCAGCTTTCTTCTGTGACAGCTAGTTGTGTGTGAAGTCAAGTGATTTATTACGCGTACTGCGGTACGTTACTGAACCAATTCGATAATTCTTAACCATTTGATTATGCATTCAGTGAGGGGAAGGTCTATAACTTGCAGACATAAGTGATGTGCTCTGGGCATTACAGCCGGTTAAATGTTTATATTCACTTGCCTTTATTTTTAATCCATCTGTGTGTATTGTATGCCTTGCGTATCATTTGACCTGTAAAAGTAAGACTGATCCTTTGCGTTGAGTGGATGTCTCCAGTTCGGAGAACGCCTGTAAGAGCTCACTCCGGTACCCGCCGGACTAGTACAAGTACACGATGGAAGGATGACGACTCTGACAGCGGAGTGGACGATCATGACTCGGTGTACTCCTCCGTCAGCGAGCGGGTGAGGATATGATCCCTGCTTGGTGAGCTTCCTCCAGTCAACTGCCTGTTAAGATCTGCTTTTATAGTGTGCGTGTGTGTTGCAGTTCGGAGATACGACTCATGGAAGCGTCTGCCGTCGCAAAGAATAAGCTGTGTGCTGCATCTGCCGCTTCAACACCCGCTTCCAATGACAACTTCCTTCAAACACCTGCTTCCAATTTTAACTTCCAAGTTTTAACACCTGCTTTCCATGATACCATCGATGATGAATTTTCCCTCGAAAATGGTTCATTTGTGAATACGTCATCAAGCCGTTTTATGAAACGTTGCTTCATACCGCAACGGCGTCGCGCGGCCTCGGGCGATACACACAGCCAGCTAGATATGGTTAAGATGCGACATGCTCTCGTCATTGTGACGGCGTAGGTTTCTGTGTTACGTCTAAGCCCCAAATCTCAGCTCATCTGTAACATTGTAGCCAAAATCTGGTCAGCACGTAACCATTGCCCGGTCGACCCATCGCCTTCTAACAGCCTGCCTGGACAGCAAAGCACCCCATGCGCCCGTTCCTGTGTCACAAGCAATTACCATAGCGTGGGGAGCGCGACTGGCGCCAGAAGTGGGGGAACCAAACCTGTTCGACCAGGTTCGCTCCATCCATCACCGTCGTGGTGTAAAGGCTTGGCAAAATCGGGTTGAACCATTGCCCTGGTTCCTTGGCCGTGACCGTGTGCGTTGTGGTGCTGCCCTCGGGCGCCCGTCTTGGCCGTGACCGTGTCCGTTGCGGTGCTGCCCTCAGACGCTCGTCTTGGACGAGTTGCCCGGCGACGAGCTGTTGGCGTGCGACCTGTGCGGCCGCGAGTACGTGGACGGCAACTGCACGCGCCACGGGCCGCCGATCGCCGTCCCCGACACGCCAGTGCCGGACTCGGCGGCGCCGGCCGAGCGCGCCGCCCTCTCCGTGCCTGCGTGCCTGCGCGTCGGCCCCTCGGGCGTGCACCGCGGCGGCCTGGGTGTGTGGACGCGCCGCCCGCTGGCCGTCGGCCTGCGCTTCGGCCCGTACCGCGGCCGGCGTGTGAGGGACCGCGCGCGCGCCGCGCGCGCCGGCTTCAGTTGGGAAGTGCACCGCGCCGGCCGCCTTGGTTCTGCGTGGACGCGGCCGACCCGGCGCACAGCAATTGGATGCGCTACGTGAACTCGGCCATGTCGCCCGCTGAGGAGAACGTGACGGCCTACCAGCACGGCTGGCGCATCTACTACCGCACGTGTCAGCCTCTGCCGGCCGATACCGAGCTGATGGCGTACTATGGCGATGAGTACATTGACGACATGCGGTCGAGGTCGGAAGCGGAGTGACACCTGAGTTCGGCGAACGCTGCTCTTGGCTGTGGGCAGCCAAGGTAGAGGCGCTGCGGCGGTTTTGATATGGGGTGTGGAAGAGTGCACGTACTAGGCGGAGATGTTTAGGTTCAAAGGCAGATGTGCATGAAATGTCGCACTGATGTGATATTGTGCACTGGGAAGAATCACTGGCCCACGGACGGCTACGGAGTGACCACGTTATGTCTTTCAGTCATGCTGTGACTCGGAGGTCGGGTATCGCGCACAAAACAAGGTAATCGTACAAACTAATGCGGTGTATTTAAGGAGAGCTGTTAAATGTGTTATCAGAAAAGCTGGATCGTCTAGAAGATGACGAGCAGTACAAACTTAGAATAAAGTGAAGTTTGTGGCAGGCTTTTCACCCGCATCAGATGACAGATGGTTTGGACCCGATGGCTTCTGAATGTACGGTGATCGAGGTTGCCTTAATACCTTCACGTGTCTGAACGTGCTCGATGGGAGATACCCGGGAGTAGTTTAGGGATATGGGTATTCAGAGCTTCAAAAAACTGATCAGGCGCCTGGCATACATTGTGTCATCTGACCTCCAAAATAGCTCTGGACGCTGAACAGAAACTCCCTTCAATGGCAAGCAGCATAAAATTCCTTCGTCATTCCATCTTCTTCTTCACGCATTCGGCTATATTAATGCGATCTGTCGTCACAACATCATCCATCTGGCCAGTTTTTGCAAACAGCTGACGAATTTGTTGTATCCCTGTCCTCGGTTCCCCCCCCCCCCCCCCCCCCAGGCAAATCCGAGGAAATGTTGCACGCATTGTCCTGCGCTTCCGCGTCACCATCCATGCCCTGAGCTACGGGTTAAAGCTTGCTGTGTAAGGTACGCCCCTTCAGAGGCCACTGTTGATCTCTGGCACCTTCGCACTGTAGTGGTACGAGGCCAACACCTCAACTTGGAAGCCACCTATGTGTGGCGCCAACGAGTCTTGTGTGGGGGACATTATGTGTGTCGTGAGAACCGTGTGTTAGTCTATTTTTTAGTTCCACTGATGTGTTGGGCAATAATATGGGTGTTACGCCTATCAATAGGCAACTGCCAGTGTAGCTATTATGTTGCCTGTTGATGGCATACTGACACCTGGGACTAGGCAGATGGTTGTTGCTAGGAAGTAGTTTAGTTGTACCAAGCCATGGCGGTGATGAAATAATACACCGTATAGCCTGACCACTGAAGTTGGGCTCTTCGTGATCTGTTCCGCTCTGGACGCGGTTCCCTTTCCGTCAGTCCGTGCCGGCATCATCCCGACGCCGACACGGACTGATGTTTCCAACAGGATATTTCCAACGGTGCCAGCACATTCACCGCAGCAGTGCTGGTTACGGCCACTCGGCCGTAACCAGACGGTTGATGGCACGGGTCCCGAGGTGCGGGCTCTCGCGCTGGTGGTGCTCTGCACGGGGCTCGAGCTGTCAGCTGATGAAAGATATCAGGGGCAACTACCGCCGCCTTTCTCTTGCGTGGCCGAAGACAGTGGTGAGCGCGACAGCACTGCTCTCGGCCGGTGGTGGAGGCGGGTGCCGGCGAGGGTCGCAGTCGGCCGTCGTGCTGCTCTCAGCCGGTGGTGAAGGCGGGTGCCAACTAGGGTCTCGCCGTCGTGCTGCTCTCCGTCGGTGGTGAAGGCGGGTGCCGACGAGGGTCGCAGTCGGCCGTCGTGTTGCTCTCCGTCGGTGGTGAAGGCGGGGTGCCGGCGAGGGTCGCAGTCGGCCGTCGTGCTGCTCTCTGCCGGTGGTGAAGGCGGGGTGCCGGCGAGGGTCGCAGTCGGCCGTCGTGCTGCTCTCTGTCGGTGGTGAAGGCGGGGTGCCGGCGAGGGTCGCAGTCGGCCGTCGTGCTGCTCTCCGTCGGTGGTGAAGGTGGGTGCCGACGAGGGTCTCGCCGTCGTGCTGCTCTCCGTCGGTGGTGAAGGCGGGTGCCGGCGAGGGTCGCAGTCGTCCGTCGTGCTGCTCTCTGTCGGTGGTGAAGGCGGGGTGCCGGCAAGGGTCGCAGCCGGCCGTCGTGCTGCTCTCTGTCGGTGGTGAAGGCGGGGTGCCGGCGAGGGTCGCAGTCGGCCGTCGCGCTGACTTCAGCCAGTTGCCGTGGATGCCGACACGGCTGCAGATGAGAATGCTGGCCGGCTGCACGGTTGTCTTGGGCCGGTGGTCGCGTCTGCAGATATGACGTGACGGACCCTTCTCTTCAACATTAAATGAGGCATGCGTTATCATTGCCACATCGGCACATTTTATTACATGCATCCGAATTGTTGATTGATCCAATCCTCATCAGTTCTCACCATCCGTATTGTGGCATTGCTCAGCATGCTACGGCCCATGGCGTCTTTTCCATGAAAGCAAAATATGAAAGTTAAAACGAGCATAATCGCCAGTAGGTCTCAATGTTGCGACTGCCAGTAACGGCACCAGTACTGGCAGATGCCCGAACAAAACGTCGAATGGAAAAGTGGAACGAAAAAGTCGGAAGGACAAAAAGTCGACAAGGATTAAAAGTCGAGTCTGAAAAAGTTAAATGGGATAAAAGTGAAATCGGGAAGCTGTAATGAAAAGTCTGAGGTCAAAAAGCTGACCGGGCTTAAAGTGGACAGGGTTAAACCAAGAAAGAAAATTCAAAGGAGGGGTATATTGTACAAGAAAAAACAGTTTGCAACAGTTGCAGAAATTACGTTGGCAAACCTTTGTGTTAGGTCTGAATTTCTTCAACAAATATCCGTACTTTCAGATGAGAATGTATATAAGGAAAATTTTTGCATATTTGTAGACATTTTAGAAGTGGATAATTTAGTATCCAATATTTGGGTGTGCCTCGTAAGGTCGCTAACCTACGGCAGGTCAAAGTCAGGCCGTGGATGCAACAAAGTCAATAAATTTCATTGCCCAGGGTCGGGTGTGAAGGTCAGACCAAGGTCAAAATCACCTACTTTATTGCCTGTGGATTTGATGTAGGGAGTAGCTTCTGGTGCTCATTTCCAATTAATTCATAACATGAACCGCATTATGCGTCTTCCATGGGCTTGTTAAGGGTCGGAATAGCTCACTTCCCTAATTTGACCCAGGTCTACGTTTTGTTGTAAGGAACATACTGCCCGGAGTAATCTTTGTCGCTTATCCGAATGCAAAACTCGAGGCGGTCTTGCATGATCTTGGTCATACTGGCCTTAGAATGGACAAGCAAGGCCACTGAACTTAAATGAGCGAATAACGTTTTGCTTAGAACAGGTATCTAGGCTCCGGGGACACTTTGGAGAGCGACCAGGAGTTTGAAATTGTTCGACCTTATTTAACCCGAAGGTCATGGTCTAGAAATCTCAAACTTCCACTCAAGTGAGTTCACGTACAAGCCAACACACGCTATGAATTTGGTGTTTTTAGCTCTCTTAGTGCCTGAGATCTCACAGGCAGAGGCCAAATTGACCCCCACCCGAGCGAAGGGTATCCAACCGGTCACCCGCGCGCGTGTTTAACATCCAGGTCACTTTCCCCTTCGCTGTTGTATCTGAACGAAGTGCGGTATTGCACTATCTGTTCTGTATCCCGGCATGACATTCATCACTGATACGAAAGTTATCGAGTGGCCACTAACAAAGAACGTACCTAGACACGCACAATGGAAAGGATGTTTACGCGTCCAGGTGTATTTGCGCGCGACAGGACCTCTAGACACGCCTCCAGGCGTCAACTAGACCGTGTTTGTCGTCCAGTTGCATAAATATTTCCTTGCGCTGACGTTATTTTCCCTTGCGTACTGAAGACAGTCTGTGTCAGAATCGATGGCAAAATTCATATCGCCGGCGAGTGTTATATGATCGACCTCAATGCATTCCAAATGTTCTAGGACTTCGGCGAAGCAGTTCGTGCTGTCGCTGTTAAGCCCACGCACATTAATAAAGGCAAAAGTATCGTTGCCTATTTTGCATATCACAGGGACGTTATTTCCACAGTCAGAATTGATTTCCGTTATCAAACTATATTGTGTGCTACTTTCAATCAGTATGCACGTGTAGCCGCAGCCAACCACATCCTTGTTCACGGTGTCATTACATTAAAGCCACGCTCCGCCCCTACTGGTCACCCAAGCCACAGTCTCCGCTCGCTCCGCCGCTCGCCCGCTCGGTCCCTCGACCCGGCGATGCCCGCGGGCACGAGCCGGCCGGCCGCCCCCGCCACATAGGCAGCCCGCAATGCACCAGGCTGCGGCCGCTCGCCCACGCTTCACCACACTCGCTTTCATAAAACGTGCGCAGCGCTTCCAGCACAGCGACAGCCGCAGGGCATAGCACTTCATCGCCCGGCTCAAGGCTGGCCGTTATATTCTTAGCAGCCTCAGCAGTCGGACCAGCGGGAGACACCAACACGAACGTGCGACACCTCAGCCGGCTGCGGGCGCCTCAAGCCACCTGGGGAGCAGCATATTCGTTAAGTGGGCGTTTCAAAGGTCACCGAAACAGCTGTCAGCTGACACTTTATCAGCAACCCGGTTTCCAGTACGGACCAAACCCCGAGCAGACGAGTCTCAACCTAAACTGAACGATCA